GGGGGGGACGGACAGACATGCCCCTCCTGAAAGTGGCCCTCGCCAGCTGGGGACTGGGGAACTAGTCAGTGTTCCCCTGAAGTTGCCCTCACTGGCTGGGGAGTGCCAGCCAGTGTCCCCCCCCGAGAAGAGCCAACAGCGCTTCCAGGGTCGGCAATCAGTCCCTGGGGGACCCCCAGACCTAGGAGGCACCAGTCGCCCATGTTTGTAATAATAGATTCAACTATGTATCTTAGGAAGCCAAGGAGATAATTTAATAACAAAGCTAATAATCATTTGAATAGGCAATTTTATCAACATTAAAAAACTGTTCTTGGGGTGGGGGAGGTGGAGAGGAAGGGTAGGGATTTGATGTGGCTCCAGCCAAAACACTGGAGGTACTCCACATATATTTATAATGTGCAGTACCCTCCAGTTTTTTGGCTGTATATGTGGTGCCACATTACATTTTTACCCTCCCCTGAACAGTTTTAATGTTGATAAAACTGCCTATTTAAATTGCCATGGGCTTTGTGTGTGTAGATACACACACTTTTTTTTTTTTTTTTAGATAAGAAAGTTATTTAAAGTGTATACACTGGCATCCACTTATCAAGCAGGTTAGTAAGTTTTCACTAAACTTGCATTACTGAAACAAACAGACAACTGTACCTATGCTTTCTAGAAAACAGGAAGCAGCATATGCAATAGCAAAACTATTTCAACTCTTCTTAATGGAATCTTGCCAAGTCAAGAGACTGTTGAATGCCTGCAAAAATCAGTATTTTCATACATAGAAATCCTTTTGTACAAATCAAAGCACTCTGAGACACCTTACTTACCCTGGTACCTTCATCCGTTACCTCCAAAATTTGAGCCTCACACCACTTCGGGGATGTCCACACCACACATTTGGAACCAACAGCAAACCCCTCTAGATTGCAGGCTCCACAGGCACGTTGTTCTACAAAATTTGAGGTCAAAGTTTATCCTATCCAATTTTTAACTTATTCCCTGAACTCAGGAATTCCAGTATGGCCATATTTTAAACACCACTACCACCCACTATGTAATACTATGCATTGATACCTACTGCAGTTCCTGCAAATTATGCACGAAGTTTATTGCACAGCTCTCAAGAAGTTCTTTCTACATTTTTCAGGTAAGCTAATTTTTTTAATAAATTAAAGCAAAAAATATTAATGGTTCTGTACAGCCAAGTTCTGTATTTCTTTAAATGCAACTGGAAGGTACTTTACCTGCACTGTGATCAGCAGAAGAGTCATCTTGCTTTTCTATTTCAGTTTCTTCGTCCAAAGGCTCCCCACTTGCATATGGATCTCCATATTCTTTAAATACTTTATGACAACCTTGTTTCATCTGTTCTTCTGCAGAACTCATCTCCTGCACACTAAGCTGTTCTGCACATTCTTCATGTTTAGTGTCAAGCAGCCCTACATTACATAACTCCACACTGTAAACAGCTCCTTGCTTTATGTCCGTTTTGAGAGCAGAAAGCTGAACTATACTATTTGCAGAAAGTTGTAATACAGATTCTTCTAACTCCAGCACATCATCTTTTGCTTCATCACCCAGAGAAGCCAGCACTTCAGATGGCACCAGTTCCATTGGCTCCTTCATTGTGCCATGAAGTACAATCTCTGCCTGATGCGTCCCTACTTCCAGTTCTTTCCCAGCTTCATCCAATAACGAAGGTATTTGGGGAGACTTCATTTCCAGTACTTCCTCAGCTAAAGATCTCATTTGATGAACTTGAAGCATATCCAAATCCAATTTCAATCTCTCTATTTCGTCAACCAAAGAAAATTGTACATTGGATGGTAGCGGTTCCAATGTCTCCTCTCTATCGTCACCAAATGAAGGCTGCATTTCAAGTGACTTGAACTCCAGCAAGTTCTCTCTTTCTTCAAGTGAAGGAGAAATTTCAAGTGATTTCTGAGTCACCAAATCCCTTGTTTCATCACCCAAAAGCTGCTCGTCAAGAAATTCCAATTCCAACATCTCCTTTGTTCTCTCATCCAGAGAAGACTGCATTTCAAGTGAGCTTAGTTCCAGTAGAAGGTCTCTTATTTCATCATACGAAGACTGTGTTTGAAAATGGTCCAGTTCCATTAGATTCTTTATTTCATCACCCAGGGAAGGTTGCTCATATTGTGACTGTAATTTTAGTAGCTCTTCACTTGTGTCACTCAAAGACTGTCCATCAACTGTCAATTCTAACATCTCCGTTTGGGGTACATTATCCAAGACTTCCATTATAGATGGTTTATGTTTTAAGTTCTTTGTCTCACTACTGAAAAGAACTTGCACATCAGCTATTTCTGGTTCTAAAAATATTTTACTATTGCTCTCATTCTCAAGTAAAGGGCTCTCTTTACCAAAAGTTTCAAAACTTGTTTGATGCTTGACTTGATGTTCTCCATTAGATGTGGGTAAAACCACTTCCACGTCCTCCAGTGGAAATGGTGTTTTTGAAGTATGTAGACAGTCGCTCTCTGTTGGATGGAATAGTTCTGGATCAAGGATGGCACTCTGATTTTCTTTCTGTACTTGACTCCAAGCTGCAGAGGATGTCTCTTCAAGAACAAAAAGGTCTTTATTACTTATCCCTGTACTCTCATTCTTTCCCTCAGATGTATTCTCAATGTTTGCTGAAATCTTGTCACCGTTTCCTAGGTTTGGCTTCCAAAAACAACTCAGTTCTTCATTAATGCTTACTCCATTACACTGCATTTTAACACTACATAAAGGAATTCCAGTTGGATTATCCTTTTTTATTTCTATTATCGTGATCTCTAGTAAAGATTCTGCAATCATGTCATGAAACTTGTCTTTTATTTCACTAATCCAGGAGCCCTCTGAAGAATCAAATCCAGACAGACAGCATGCAAATGCTTGATTAGGTATTGCGAGCAGTTCATCAGGAACTTGTCTGACCACCTCTCTATCAAAGACCTCCTCAGTTCCATAATCCACATGTCTCACAATTAGGCTGGTACCTTTTATGCTTCTAATTTCTGCTCTGTAAAATTTTTCATCTTCACTACTTTTCACTATACAAATGGCACCACTTTTAATACTAGATCTGAAGTCATCCATGCTATTTACTGAAAGTTCTCCAGCAACCTGCAGTTTTTCTTCCAGGTAGTTTATACTTTCTGTGCCAGCAATCTGACACCAAAAATATCCTGGACCCTTTACCATAGTGACATACACTTCTACAGTCTGACCTACCTCAGGAATCTTCCAGGAGAATGTTTCAGTGTCATTTAGATGAGAAATTTCGTTTTGCTCATCACAAGACAGGTCTGGTAAGTCATTAGGAACATCACACCTACTCTCATCTCTGTCACGCATTTCTGATAATTGAGAGCCTTCTCTCACTGCAAATTTTTCAATCAAATCCACTGCTATCATGCCTTGGTCATCACTGAGAAGAATTTCCCATTTGTCTTTGACCTTCTCTACAAATTCACAGTTTATCTGAACATCGCTTGTTCTTTCAGAGAAGTAGAGCATTGCTTCCCGTGTCCAGTCTAGACAACTTACAGCTTGAAGTCCACCAAGGAGGCAATGGATGCTCATCACTGGAATTACTGTAGTGTCTTTGGGGAGATTACAAGTTTCACTGATGTTAACTACTGAAGTATTGCCATAATCTATATACTGAACACTAATCAGCTCTTCAGAAGATTTCTCTTTAATTACAGCCCTATACCATAAACCATCTTCTGAATAAGCAGCACCGATTAAGTCTCCTGTTTTCAACTGCTGTTTACAGAGATTCTCTCTTCTTGTTCCATTGTTTAATGTCTCTGAAATGCTATTAAGTTGAGATTCATCACTTGCTAGCTGAATATACAAATCTGAAAGGTTATTGACATGAGAAATATATACTAAAGTTTTAAGTCCAGGTATTAAGTTCTTTTGATGCAGATCAGACAGATTTTTTAAAGGAACATATACACTATTTTCTCCCTGATCTCTATTTCCAGCAGTATCAGACAGAACAGCAACAGACCCCATAGCTTCCTTCCTAATGGGAAGAGGGGACTCTTCTACTTTATCAAGAGGAAAGGCTTTGTTATTGTTAAACCTTTCCACAGATCCTTTCCACGGATCAAATAACGATTCTCTTTTTTTAGGAGATGGGAGCAGTTTTGCTTCCTTACAAATAAAACTGGTTTTACAACTGCTCTCTCCTCTCTGCATTTCAGATCTCCAATTCTCTCTCTCAGTAAGCTTACTTGTGGATGTTGTAAATGACTTCACATTTTCATTTCTCTCTTCTTTAGCGTCTTGATGTTTAGAGTGTAAAGTTTCATTTTCTGGGTGCCTGTGAGTCGCTCTACTATTTGGTAAGCTAAAATCCTGTTTCATTTTTGCATTAATTTGAATATTACCATCATAGAGTTCAATCATCAGTTTTCCATCAGATTCTTTTGCTACAATTATTGCTTTTAAATGCTTATCTAAGACAGCTTTTGTAAACCATTCAGTAGCTTCTTCTGATACATTAGAGATATCAGACAATGAACATTTTATGGCTTGCATTGGCAAAAGCAAGATATCATAAGCATCGTTAGGTATAGGAAGAATATCTTCTTTCTTTACTACCTCTGTGTTTCCAAAATCCACAAAATATACTTCCTTGTTAGGCTTTGTTTTTGTAACTATTCCTCTGTACCAGTGACTGTCAGTATACTTTGCAAGACACAAGTTTCCAGAGCCTTGAGACATTTTTAAACAGGCCAGTACTTTGTTGAGTTGATCAATGCTATCTGTGAGCTGCTCTAGAGCATCTGCACTTCTTTGAAGTTGGAAGTAGAACTTCCATGGATCATCTACATGCGTTACATAAATCTCTTCCTCACTGCCAATTTTGATGTCGTGCGTAGAATAATAATAAGAATAAAGCTGAACAGAGGATGCCAGAGGACTCTGAGGTTGTACTGGTCTGGCTAAACCTCTCTCTATTAGAAAATGGCAGACACTTTCAAAAGGTGTAATTAAATCCACAATATTAAATAGCCCTTTGTTGTTCACCGCAGCCAGAGCAAATATTGTACAATTCAGTTGCAAACACTCCGTGGAGGCATCAACAAATTCCTGAAAAGCTGAAATTGCCTCTTCATCCCAAACAAGAGGATCAGGACCACTTGGCTGAATTAAGTTGTAAAGACTACATCTGAAAGCCTGGGCCTTCAGTTTAAGGAAATCTGCATTGATTGAACACAAATTCTTAAGAGAAACCACATCCTTGTTCCCATAATCTACATATATCACCTCTACCTCTTCTTTGGGAAGTATTCCACTAAGAATCAAAGCTCTGTACCACTTCTCATCCTCTGAATACTTGGCTAAACATACAGGATTTGGCAAATAATGTGGCTGTGCTGAATCTTTGCAATAGTCCTGAATTGCAGCCATTAGTTTCTTAAGCTCTTGGGAATTTCTCCTTAGTTGACACCAAAAGTAGCCAGGACTTTCAACACAGGACACTACCACATCAACTGTGCTTCCTACTTCCAGCTGATCTTCATAAGGAGAAAGTCCTGGTTTGATTTCTAAGTAGTTTTGAGCAAAAGAGCAGGGCAGATTTGGGGGCATTTTTTCCTTATCAGAAAGTGAGTCACTTAAATCATCACTGGGCTGGTCTTTGACCAAAGCTGCAGATGAGTTGAACGCTGTGTGATCTATTTTTGGTTTGGGCTCTATTTCTATTCTATCTGTAGCACTGGCTTGCTTCCCCTCCTCAGCACCCCATTTGGAATCCTGCCCCAGACGCTCAGCAGGTGCCTTCTTATGTACCTGCGGAACCTCAGCCCCCTGGAATTTAGCATATCCTCCCCAGGTCATGATTTTGCATACATTTTTCTCTCCTGTTTGGGACTGGTCCAGAATTTCGACCACATACTTGTCAGCCTGTGTACCCAACACATGGAATGTCAGCTCCTTGTTCCGCACGGCCCTTTTGAAGTAGGACACGCACTCCTTGCTCCAACTCTCCCCCAAAGGGGATGCATCTGCCAAGCAGCACTTCAGAGCCACAGCAGGCAGCTCCATGAACTGAGGGAGCAGCTCTTTTACCTCATACCAGTCCAAGGTCTCAGTGTTGCCTCGGTCCACCAGGTGCACTTCCACGCCTTTGCCCAGCACCCTAGTGACAAGGGCACGATAGTAGGCTTTCTCCTTCCACTTGGCACAGCAAAGGGAGCCCAGCTGTGGCTCCAGGAGCACGGCCTCCAGCTTCTGGGCTCGGGAGTAGAAGTCGCTCATGCTCCGCATCAACTGGCCGAGGGGCTGCTTGTGCTCTTGGAGCCGCAGCCAGAACTCGCCCGGGTCCCGGGCAAAGGACACCTGCCCTTTGCAGAACACTCCTGCCTTCAGCCGTATGACGGGCAGGCGGGCGGCGGGGGCTGGAACCTTGTGCATTGCTGCTGCAGCCGGGGGCGCCCCAGGTGGCTGCTCTGGCTCCTCAGCGGCAGCATCGGGCAGCTCTGAACCACTGTGCAGCAGGCTGGCAGACAGGCAGTGTGCCTGCACACCGTAGAGACAGTTGAGGTTGATGCCGTTGTCGCCATACAGGCTCACGTAGTAGAGGTGCTCGAAGGAGCTGTAAGCGTCGATGCGGGCACTCACCGCCTTGCCCAGCAGCAGCGCCTTCAGCTCGCTGAGCTGCGAGCGGGACCAGCCGCAGCCACCGTCCGAGATGCCCTGCAGCGCACACGGGTAGGTCAGCACGGGCATGCGGAAGCACTCGGGGGGCAGGCGGTGCAGGTTGGTGCCCATCACAAACTCCTTCCTGCCGTAGTCCACACACATCACCTGGGCCAGCGGCCGGCCCAGCTCACCCGTGAATGTCTCCAGCAGCAGCGCACGGTACCATTGCCCATCAATGCCCCGGGCAGCGCAGGGCGAGCCTGGCTTGGATGGCGCCTCCTGCTCCTGCCCCCGCCCAGACGCCGCCTCGTACAGCTGGCGCATGGTGTCTGAGAGGCGCCGGATCTCCTGCGACAGGCTGCGCAGCTGGCAGTAGATGCGCTGCGGGTCCGACACTTGCGTCACCAGCACTGGCTCCGTCACCCCCGGCTGCAGGCGCGGGTAGAAGTAATCGGTGGGGGCGGCAGTGGCGGGAGGCAACGGGGCCGGCTGCGGCACAAGGGCCGAGGTGGGTGCCAGGCAGCGCTGCAGCAGGGCACGGAAGGTGCTGGGCGCCGCCTGCTGCGCCAGGCCCAGGTGCTGCATCTGCGCCAGCAGCCAGGGCAGCTCCAGCACCACCAGGCGCTGCGGCAGCAGCACCTCGCGCACCTGCCCTGCCACCTCTTTGCCCTGCAGGCAGGACAGGAAGTCAGCCGCGCCCGCGGGCCAGGCAACACCCACCAGCTCCCAGCCGCCCGGTGGCACCAGGTCGGCCAGCACGCAGCCCAGCACCTCGGAGGGCAACTGGAAGAGCTCGGGCCGGCCCCGCGCCAGGTGGTGGGCGGCAGCGCACACGGAGCGGCCCTCGTCCAGCAGGAACACGCGGTAGGCGTCTGCACCCTGGGCCTGGCGACTCACGACGCGGCAGCGCTGCCACCGCCCACCCAGCTCCACTAGGCACAGGTCGCCGGG